TATATATATATATATATATATATATATATATATTATGCATGTGCTGTCATCTATCGGATAATGTAATATAAATTTGTACTATAGGTATGAGTGAAAATAAATTGGTATCACTGGGCATATCTTTCGGTAATAGTAACAGGACATTTCTTTTCATGTTCAGGAAGTAATTTTTCTTTTACTCTACAATACAGAAGTTTTTGTATTTTTATTTAAAATAATTCACTAACCTAAAACTATTACATAAAGCTAATAATAAACTTGTAATGCTTTTTATAGAAATGTGAATACATTTATTTAATTGTTTCTCATAAGGCAACTGTACGAACCTGTCGGACGTTCTGGGCGTATTCTAACCCCATTCCTTCCACTCGCCGACCTGTGTAACCCTGGGGACATGGACCACATCTAAAGCCTGGAGATGTGTTTTTGCACGATGCTGCAGGATGGCAAGGGCCTGCTAGATCACACTGAGGAATGGAAAAAAGTATAAATGGTAGGACGAAAATAAGTCAATGAAATAAACATATTTTGAAACAAGATTCATGAACTGACCACCAGAAATATTTTCTGGAATGAAACAAACTTAAACGCTAAGAAAAACTATTAAACAATATAGAAAAATAAAGATAACAGCAATGTTCTAATATATTATTAAAAGAAACACTTTCAACAAGCTACTTTTAAACATATAGGATTCTAATGAAAACGTTTAACACAATTTTGTAACGGTTTCAATATCTGGGGGAATTCTTTGTGATTATTCAGTAAAAATTCCAGTTCACTTAATCAAGCTCACCGAACGATAGCCCTAACTCTTGCTTGAATTTCCTTTCGTATATTTACGGAAAAAACTTAAAACTGAATGACTAACAGACTCACTTACTAATTACCTAACTCCCTCACTCATTCACTGACTAACTACAACTCTCTGGTGTTTTTATATTATTACAATATTATCCCCTTCCCACCAAGTCTCTAAAAAATTCGCGACAATACGTACATATTACGTCCAAACTAGACACTCAAGAAATGTTTCGGTGTTACACATCATCACTACGTCATGTTAAAACTCCCTCTAAGAAATAGTACAAACAATTTAAGTTAAAACATTATATTGTTCACAATAATAATTACTTCCAACTAGCAAACTCCAGTTTGGGATCATTAACATCTGCCGCGGTTTGTTCGGTGCAAGTTTTAAACAATTGGCTATTAGTAGTTAATAGGTTTTAAATATTTGTTGTTTCATTATTTTCTTTAGAATTATTAAATTCATAATGTTGAAACGTAGTAGAGCACTGTGCAATTAAAACTTTCAATTTTTAGCCAATATTTGAGCAGCAGACTTTCCTCGTAAAATAAACAAAGGACTTTGAAACATGGCATTGTGCATTTAATCAACATCAATAAACCTCTTACCTCATCTATATCCTCACATGTGGTGCCGTTACCAGTAAACCCAGTAGGACAAGGTCCACATCTGTAGCCTGGTGGACTGTCCGTGTTAAAACATTGGACCCCACGCCAACAGGGTTCATCACCGCAACGATCATAGGGTCGACAGTTTATTCCATTACCAGTATAACCTGGTGGACAGGATCCACACTGGTATCCACCATCTTCCCGCTCATGGCATCTCACTCCTATGAAAAACAGTAAAATCACCTAGAAAATATATCCACCAAATTATATCAAATAACCAATTAAACCTTGCTTTATACTAAATTATAATGTAGAAATCTTATTCCTTACCTCGGAAGCAAGGTCTGTCATTACATGTAACCAATGGAACACACTTCACTCCATTCCCTTTGTAGCCACGAGGGCAAGAACCACACTGGAAACCATTTGATGTATCTCTGCACTGGACGTCAGGAAAACACGGATTATCCTGACAGGTAATTTTTGGTGGTGTTACTGTTAAAACAAACGGATTACCAACTCTATGACAACATCCATAATTCGTATCTCAAGTACATTTGAAGGATATATTTACAAAAGTGCCAATTAGAGCACAGTCCCATCCCCTATGTGCTTAACTTAAAAAGGTATACAATTCAAATAATACTTATATTAGCAAAATATCACTTAAAATGTGCCCTCCCTAGCCGGTGGCTTTCAGCGATAAATCGATAGGTTCATAACTTTAAAAATCGGATTTCGATACCTGCGGTGAGAATAGTACAGAAAGTCCATTATATAGCTTTGTGAATTAGAACAAACAAACATAATATGGTTTGCAACTTACTTTATTATGATCATACTGACATGCTAACATTTTATTACACGTTTCTGACTTAATAAATAAGTTCTGAGAAATAATTTTATGTGTAAATATAAAAGTATATTTATAGATTTGGTCACTAAATGTGCGAAACAATTTCACATGGATTCTGGACTAGTAGTATTGGAAATAAGCAACACAGAACGTACATATTTATTCTGCATTAAAAAAGAACAGTCACAGTACTGTATAAGTAAATGTTTACGTAAGGCACTTACTTCTGCACATCTCACACCTCTGTAATGTGTCACGAAGAAGCTTGGTCTCTCGTGTCTGAAATATATACAAATAAAACTGTAAGTAATGCATTTGAATTTATTAGAAGTGGGCACCGACTGGTTTTACATTACTGACTGCTTAAGAGCTGCAGCATCTTGTGGTAGTATTATTTCCATGCCCTTTCGCTTTCCTTTTCGGTATACAACTTCAACAGCTCACAAACTTCAGGACATCAGCAGCTCCTATAAAGTTTTACCTAATGACAAATTATTGATATGGTGTATTTAAGAAAACAGTTTCAGCAAATGAACAAATAGCATTAGCCATTTGAAATAATTTTCTTATCCACAAACATTATTGTGAGGTTTTATTTACAGTGGGTGTCTGTGAGTTGTTGGCAATAAATTTCAACAATAAACAAACAGCACACAGTCCACTTGCTTTAAATTAATATATTAAAACAAGACAAACGTATATCCAACTGTTCGTTACAGTTGATTGCTACAGTTGAATTCAGAGCTTTAAATAATTCTCCTTTTCACCAAAAGTACACACAATGTGGTTCAGTTACTTTAGAACCCAATTAAAAATACGAATTATTCTTCTCTACTCTGTTATCACTACCCAGTCACAGATAAATTCACCTATGTTATCCCATTGGATACCACAGTTGTATCCAGAACTTTAAATAATTCTTTTTGTTCGTCAGAAGTCCACACAGGCTGGTTCAGTTACTTTAGAACCCAATTGACGAAACGAATTATTATTCTTTACTCTGTTATTACAATACAGTCCGCGATTATTACACTTTGAAAGTCTCCACTGTACACATTATATGGCTAACCACACAATCACTCAGTATATATATCTATCTCTATCACTTTTTCATTTCCTTTTATTTAACTTCCTATTAAATTTCGCACGCATATTTATAAATAGTCCAACTGATGCCTAGAACTTTCTACACCCTACTAGATATATGATGCAACAATACTTGATTAAAACAACGAGAAATATTTTGAAGATTCAAGTAACATGACGTCAATTCACAACAATTGGACTACACAACAAATAATTTGTAAAAAATTACGAAAGCAAATTTGACGTAACTATTGCTTCTAAAAATAAATAAATATAATGCTTGCATTAAATAAACTAAATAATGAATTGTATTCAAATGAACAGTCGAGTATATCTAACAATAAACCTCTCTTCCAGAAAAGTATTTAATTTTTTTTTATATTATATACAAAAACTGTTCTTGGTTCGTGCACAAAATCTACTCATGCAGTCTTCACCAACAGTTGCAGTGGCCTTGATGGCCTCAGTAAAGAAACCGATAATAACTTCTGGATCTATGAAAGAGACTGATGGTTCGTCTAAATGATGAACTTCTTACCGAAGAGGTAGTTCTGGAATTTTTGGATGGCAAATATAATGGCCAAACACTCTCATTCGATCACAATGTAGTTCTATTCACTAGGTTAGGGTGCTCGCCTCGCAATCTGAGGGTCGCGGATTCGAATCCCCATCCCGCCAAACATGCTAGCCCTTTCAGCAGTGGGGGCGTTATAATGTGACGCTCAATCCCACTATTCATTGGTAAAAGAGTAGCCCAAGAGTTGGCGGTGGATGGTGATGACTAGCTTCCTTCCCTCGAGTCTTACACTGATAAATTAGGGACGGCCAGCGCAGATAGCCCTTTGCACGAAATTCAAAATAAAACAAAACTCAACAGTTTTTACTTACATACATTACTGGAAACAGTATTTCTTTATGTTCTTGTAGGAGTACTGTTCCAATTCCAAAGTCTGAAGCATTGGCCTGAACGACGAACAGTTTGTTGAAGTCTGGCATTCAATGGATTAGCGAACTTCCTACCATGTTCGTTAGCTTCTGGAATGCCATCTGCTGGGTTGTTCCAACTTCACCTTCTTGAGTAGGCCTTTCTTGTTCAGGTCAGTCAGTAGTGCAGCAAATTCATCTTAGTTTGGGATGAAATTCCTATAGTATCAGCCAAACTCCAGGAAGGATCTGACTTGTTGCTAGGTCATTGGAGCTGGTGCATCTTGTATATATGTTAGCTTTTCTTCCTCCATGCAATTTGTTGGCTGCCCACAGAATAGCTGATATAGCACTTAGAAGATTTGATGCTCAGGCCTGCCACCCTCACAACTCTCTGAGTTTTTACAGGTAGTCTTCCCATCTGGCTGTGTGGGTCAGAATGTCCTTCACAAAATGCTCGATGTTGGTGGATTTGTGCAACATCTTCCTCATCATGTGACTGAATGTCACTGTTGAGTTGGCTAACACAAATGGCATCTTATTCAATTGGTAGTATCTATCTTGCATCACAAAGGCTGTATTCTCTTTGGAATCTGCCTCCATTTGGATCTGCCAATAACCGTCCTGAGGTCGATCTTGGGAGAGAATTTGGTCCTGTCTAGTTTCGTTATAATAAGCTCTATGTTGCCAACAGTTTCAGAATTGAACTTCGTCACAAGCTTCAACTTCTGGAAATCTATGCAGAAACAGTTTCACCCACTCCTCTTCGTGATTAATACTGGTGAACAGTAGGCTGAATGCGAGGGCTCAGTGATTCCAGCTTGTAACATTGTCTCTATACTTATTGCTTGATTAGGTGTCTCATTACATAGTACATCTGGTAGGACCTCACTTTCACTGGATTCCTAGTCGTGATCGCAATCTTGTGTTACAAAAGGTTTGTCTTACCTGGTCTATTTGTCAAGATATCTGCACATTGACATAGTAGATCTTGTAGCTCTTTCTTATATTTACCAGTCAGTTCTTCACTCATGTTGAAGTCTTTGTATGTCTCATCTCCACCCAGTCGATCTTAGGTCTACTAGGTTTTCATCTTCTATGACAAAGTCACTGTCTTCTATGAAAGCTACACCTTTCATGTCCATCTATTCCTCAATAGTTGCACCCATTAGGTCTTCATTCCTCTCGAAGTATCTCTTCAACAGATTGGCGTGATAGATCTTGGTCTTCCCATCCACTTTCACCTTATAGGCCATTATGATTACCACTTTCTGGACTTCAAAAGGTCCTTTCCACTGCAGGGTGACTTTGTTCTTGTTTGTAGGTAGCAGAACCAAGACCCTCTGAACTTGAAACACCAATCCAAGGCCTTTTTGTTACAGAAATGCTTCTGACTGCCTTGAGCTGCATACAAGCTCTCTTGAGCGAGTTAAAAGGTCTCCTCCATTCGGTTTCTGAGGTCTAACACGTACTTGTATGTGTTCTTTACTTCTGTATTTTCTTCTACTGTCCTTGTACTTTCTTTTTGGACTTCTTGGTAAGCAGATAATACTGCCTGCAGATACCTGTCCAATTCACGTGGTCTCTTTTGGCACATCTTTATCATATTCTTTAAGACTCCACTGACACTCTCACAAAGTCTATTACATCTGGAGTTATATGGGGTGGTAAAGAGTTGCCTAGTACTGACGAGCTTGCACACAACTTACATCAGTTCTGAGGTAAAATGGGTCCCTCTGTTACTAGAGACTTCTTTTGGGAAACCTTCTCTGCAGGACACTTCCAAGATGGCTTCTGATACTCTTCTTGTTGCTATCTTTGGCAAAGCTATGGCTTCTTGGTAATGTGTCGCATAGTTGACTACTGTCAGCACATACCAGTTGCCTTTGTCAAATACAGGTGCTAGTGGTCCAACAAAGTCCACAGCTACTCTGCTGAATGGCTCTTCTATGAGAGGTATCTCACCCAGTGGCACCTTGGTTACCTTCCCTCAAAGTATTGTCCTTTAGCAGATGTCACATGACCTACGGAATATGATCACATCTCTAATGACCTCCAGCCAATGGAAGTTACTGGTCATTCTGTCTGTCTCCTTCTTTGCTCCTAGGTGTCTTCCCACAATTGACTCATGAGCCAACTTCATCACTTGAGTCCAGTATTCTGTTGATACTATGACCTGTTTAAATTCCCCAGTAAAACTGTCTTAATATATCCAGTACAACATTTCCATTTGATCCTCTATTCTGTAAGTCCTCTTCCCTTTGGTCTTGTGCTCCACTTTTTCCCTGGCATTGTCCCAAAGCTTCTGCAGTGAAGGGTCTTTCCTCTGTGCCTCCTTCAGTTCTACTACTTCGTACATTACTGATCACCAAGTCATAGATGGGTGCTTTTCTACGCATAGCCTCAAGGTCTCCCATATAGAGACATTTGTCCTTGCTATGGTAAACGTTTTTGCTGTTCCTTCAATCAGCACACACAGATGTACTTCGTCTGTCATCTGGTCATCAGATACTAAACTGGTTCTCACTACTGCACTTCTGCACCCAGTGTCTCACAGGACTTTCACTTTCTAGTCCCCAACATAGCCTTCACCTACTGGCATGTTGTGGTTTGTTGGCACCTTTCAATG